ATATATATATATATATATATATATATATATATATATCAGTATATATATATATATATCAGTATATATATGTAATAATACTGTCATGCCAGAGAGGAAAACGGTGTTTTTTCTAAGCTTAAAGCTGCTTCAGGAGTTCAACAGAGAAAACTGCAGACAGCTCAGCTCAGTGAGTTAATTAGATGATAACTGGGGGTTGTATCCCTGGTTTAATGAGGAAATGAGAATAATTGTCTTCCTACTGAAGCCTGTGCTTAAAGCTTCACTGAAACCAGTGGCATAGATTTGCTCTTGGTTAAGATAATTAGACCAGCATTCCTCAGAATGATGTCCCAAAACTCGTATGACCCCGGAAGATACAGAGTTGTGAAGTTGTTTTACAAACTGGAGGATATGTATAGTATATACTATAGTATAGTTTATGTTTTCATCGAGAAAGAGCATCTTGATTGTTTCAAACCAATAAACAGCAATCCAACTACAACTGAAATGATTACAACAATGAATTGATAAAATAAACGTCACTTTGAGTATAATGGTAATGAAAATAATAGTTAGGTACAGCCCAAATTCAACATTCATATATCAGTCTTGATATTTGATTTATTCATATCAGTATTAACATAGGAATGACTAGTTAGAGCATGGCTAGCAGTTTCTATCTGCATCCAGTCTTTGAGCTAAGCTAGGCTAACCTCATCCTGGAACTTTAACGCACAGATATTAAACCTTCTCATCTGGCTCTGGGGAGCACAATTTTCCCAAAATGATTTTTATAAAGAATCCTCCACATATCTTTATTTTTTTGCCCAATTTTGGGTGTTTATTTATGTTGTAAGGAGTCTCAGGTTTGTCAGGAAACCTCTCATAGTAACTCTGGGGCAGACTTTAGTGTCGGGTTAGGAGATGTAAAAGTGGAGAAAGGGAAACTTGTGATCGGAGAAGCCTTAAGCATTTTCCCTTTGTGCTAATATGTAAAGAATGATGCAAGAAAAAACTATCACTGTTCCTTTTATTCTTGAACCTCCTGCTTATCTTCAAAAACCCCTCGGTGGTCCCCAGCCCTTCATTTTACCAACATATGATTATAAGTCAGTGCTGAAGGGAATAAAGTCTGCAGTGAGGACAGAGGGGAAGCACATAGACTGCGTTTGAGTGCAGCTTGTGAGGATGCAGTGCCCCTGTGTGGTCAAAGTGGATTAAAGCCCAGCTGTCAAACAAGTTATTTTAAAGGTATAGATGATCTCGGTGATGTTGGAATTAGAAATCAGTCTAACGGGAGAAAAGCATGTGAGGTTTAGTCTTTGGTAATGGAGCACAGCTTGTGGCTTTAAATGCTGCTGCAGCTGCTGCTGTTGTGGTTTCTGTTACTTTTGGGTGTGGTGCTTTGTATTCGTCAAGAGGAACACCCAAGAGAGACGAGTTGCCACTGGAAAAGTTGCTTCACGTTTGCTGAATAATCATTATTTGCGTAATGGGAGTGGGAATCATGGTTTCTTTTACTGTGTTTACACTTCTTAGCGACCACATGTGCACGGTGTAGTTCAGCATTGAGCACTTAAACCCTCCTCTTCTTGTTGCATGTGATGGGATGGAAAGTGTTGCTTCAGGCTATACAACACGACACAAAGGAACCTTTTTTCTTTTGTTTTACACTGCCCAGATGTCTGCATGTTCATGTCTCCTTCTGTATCCTGATAAACTGAAAGGAAGTCTGCATTTCTCTGACAAGGCTCAACTCCCGTTGTCAGCAACAGGCAGTGCTGCAACAGTGATAGTTTAGTGAAGACAAAAAAAAAACAAGATGTTTTTACTTTATAAGGACGGAGAGGATGAACGTCAGGTCATATCCTCGCTGCATTATCTCAGGGTGAAGAGTATTTACTCTGAAAATACAAAATAGTACTAAGATACAGGATGGATGCTGATAATAGTAAGTCATCTGTTTATTGTTGCTATTTGGCTTTTTTTACTCACTTCATATATTCATTTGTTGCTACTTTTACATAACTATCAAAAAGAGATGAAGGATTGAGTACATCATGCATTAATTAATGTATTAAACATCCAAAAATGGTACAAATTATACCAACATTATTATAAATATGTTCAAATATATGTTTTTACTGTTGTTTGTACTGTTGGGAAGAATTTAGCATCTTCAGGCAAATACTTTACAAATAATAAAACCATCCAATCGAAGGTACATTGTATCATTATACTAGTAGCCATTTTCCAGGAGATTCACTGATATTTAAAATTTAGAAGAGTAAAGTTATTTCAGGAAAGGAAAGAAGCTATTTGCTGTTTCAAGCTATTATGTAACTAAATTGTCAAATAAATTATAAAATATTAGAGCTGATATAGTGATGACTGATATTAGCTTATTAATATGGCCTGCTGCTGCATATCGACCGATATCGTAACATTCGGTACAGAAATGCTGAAGATACATTTGACGTATCGTCATTTTACAGTTTCTTTATCAGAGAGCCCTGAAGTTCCACTCAGTAAGTAGTTTGGTCATAATTCTTAAAACCTGTGTTTAATAACATTTAAAAGACTCTCATTGGAAATGTTTATGTATGTTATGTGTTTACTAAACCCTCAAACATCAATATCTGTGTCTAATAATTATTCTAATAATGACTCCCTCTATTTTTTGACAAAAGAATAGTAGAAAACCAGTAGAAATACAATATGGAGAAAAGTACATAAGAAATACTAATACGTAAACACGAGGTGTAAAAAGAGCTAATATATCTGCTGAAGGCGACCTGTGGAACAAACTGAGTGACTCTTCTTCTCCTGGCTGCTGTTACTCACTGCTGCCTGTGTTGGTGTAAATAACCGGGGCTATATTTAAGGTCCGGCCTGTCTTGTCCATACTGCTGCATTATTTATATCTTCCCCCTGTGCCACGGTGAACCCCCGCCCAACCCTCCCCTCGGGAGGACGAGGTCGATTTCAATCTGCTTTACGCTGTTGCTTATGTTGCAGACTGATTACGCTGAGAACATTTTTATCTCTAAAGCAAAAACACAGCTGATAAGATGCTGCTGCTGTTCTCTTGCGTCCTTTCCCATAACGGTTTGTAAGAACCACCGGCATTAACTTGTGCAATGAAGCCAGCATTAGATAGTTGTTCTTGACTGCAGCCTTTGATTTGTATTGAATTAGTGTAATTCTGTTAAAAGGAATACAGCCGTTGCCTGATTGATTATCCGCTGCAGCAAAACATATTAAAGGCTCCATACACATGCTCAGAAATAACAACCCCATTCTCTTGTATTAGTGTTAAATTACTAGACTACAATTTAGTTAGTTAGAACAATAGAACAACAACAACCTGAACAGGTGTCCTTTTTACACCACGCCGCATGCATTTATATTGAGAAATGAAAGGATACAGTGAACTTCGTCCTGTGTCCACTGCTAAACAGCCCAGAGGTTACCAGTGTTGAGTTGATTTTGTGTGTTTATGTCCAGTGTGGATCTTCCTGTCCCAAACACACACACACACACACACACACACACACACACACACACACACTCACCCCTCAGTGTCTCCTGTAACTGGACCGCAGACGTGGGGTGGAGGGTTGTGACAGAAATAAACACGTGATGACGCCCATGCCACTGCTCAGTCCCACTGACTACGATTCACACACACTCACGCACATATATACATACACTCCTGCATATTCGACCAAAGCTCGCTGCCATCGTAGGAAACCCTGCGGCTTATAGTGTGGACATGGCGGGGCTGCTGTGTGGGACCAAGAGGAAGAAACAAGGTAAATTTGGTTTTGATTTTGGGCTTTTGAGGAACTTGGAAGTGGAAATGGGGAAGCAGGACCTGATGTTACCTTAGTGCATCTGCAGGTTAACGTCCAGCGTTGTGTTGTGTCAGTTGTTGTGAGAGATCATCAAGATGTAAGTATAGTCACTACTTAAAATTACAGAATCGACTGTGTGTGTCTGTGTGAGGGTTGCTGTTATATTTCTGGACCGGCGGGTGAAAGTATTTTTACATCCATAAATCACTCTGCAGAAAAATCTGTCGTAGTAACTTCATTATATTGTGTGATTTGACCATTTTCACCCTCGTTTTACTTGACTGTGTGAAGCGCCGGCAGCAGTAATGCAGTCGGATGGACTCTGAGGGAAAAAGCAGCACAATTATGATGAAATGCAGTCAGTTTGCTCTGTAATTACAAAGCAAACTGCTGATCTGTAGAGAGATAGTTGATATTCTGCCCTTTATGAGAAGGCTGAATCTGATAGGAAATCTGTAGGGACCCCTCCTCCCGGGGTAATTATGTCTCTGTACATGCTTTGAAGTTCAGATGTTATCCAGATTGTGTCATAAACACACAGTTCCAGACTTTCTGTTATTATATTATCAATTAGAAACATCTATTTCACATACTTTTAATTTGAGAAAGCGCTCAAAGTGCAACCATTGGTTCTCCTCGCAGGTTTTATAAATAGCAAAATCAATAAAATGACAGATTTGAGGCCATTGATTGCAGTTCAGCCTGTTGCAGGTCGTACAAATTGAAATGCAGGATAATAAAAGCAGCGTGTCCATTAGGGGAAGAGAGGTTCTGAATCCCTGCAGTGTCTCTGCAGTCAGAAGTAAAAGCATCTCAGTGGAAATTGATTTGATGCCTGACTCAAAGTGTGCTAAAGTGTTTGTTACTTTATGTGTTTGGTCACCTTAAATCCACTTAAACTCTCCCAGTTTTGTGCTAAATTCTCATTTTATTCATATTTTGCGTATGTTGTATGTTTAAACCTGGAAAATAGTGCCAAGATACATGCTGCTTAGATGACTTTATTTTTGAATGGATAGACAACGCTGCCCTTTAATGTAACCTGTGGTTACTTTCATACAATGAAAGACATAGTGCTTTACACAAAAGCAAATAATCATGACTTATATGTGTTAAAGAGGCACTTATTATAATAAAACGAGGATGAATACAATGAAACAGAATATGTACTTTTTAAACATTTTCATGAGAAGTCAGTGTTAAAAATACGTCTTAAAAGAGAACTACACCGACTTAGTATTGCACATAATATATAACATTGTATGACTCATGATGGACGTTAAAAAAAAAGGATAGACATGACTGCAGCAGAACCTGAAGTATCATGTTTTTTATTCCACACATTCTTCATCCTTCATACATGCCGCCTACATTACCCTCAATGCAAGTCAACCACTAGCAGTTTGATTGGTAATTCAGGAGTGTTATGCTATAGTGCCTAATGTAAACCTAATCTTAAGCTGCTAGCCTCAAGCAGAGATGAGGAGCGGGCTACAGAGGTCTGATAAGCTCAATTCTATCTAACTTCTTCTTGAGGACATTCATCAGACTTCACAGAGCTCCCTCTGGAGCCACGATAGGCTTTATACAACAGCAACACACAGACTTTCATGTGTAAAATCGGTGGAGTTCCCCTCTAAGCGTCTGGTTAAAGTGTCTACAGATTTAGAGAAACCTTTATGAATGCCATTTTGTTCAGCTCTTAATTTTACGGACACTGAATAGAGAAACGTGGTGGTGGAGTGACTGAAGAAGTGTCTGCAGAGGAGAAGCAGGTGCCACAAATTGTCATCAAATCGACACCACACTTTACCCATAAGGGGAATTTGTGGCGATTTTGCACTAATACTGTTACCAGTGACTGAGACGCGCTTTCTCTTTGTCGTCTTCTTCTTTTATTTCCCACAGTCTCTGCCTGACTATCTTTCTTGCTGTACTCAGAGAATGAAAATACAATGAATGCTCTTTTCAATTTGTTTCCTTCCAGTTACTTATAAGCAGAACTAACTATCTATTTTTTTTCCTGTTGATTTGTTTGATTGAATTTGTCGTGCCTGGTTTTCTTCATGTTTTTTTGTGTGTATTGTTGTCTTACCAGTGAGTGATCTCCATGAGGAGGGGAAGAATGCCATCAACGCTCCCATGCTTCCCACAGGCACAGACATCCATCCAGAGGACACGCTGCTGGGTACAAACACACATAAACACACATACACGTGAAGAACATCATATTTAGAATTTAATCTTTTATGCTAAAGCACTATTACTGCCTGAATGTGTAAAATGTGTTACTTTATGCAGTGTTGTTGATACTGCAGTTGCATTTCAAATATTTTCAACTTCCTAAAACTTTTGCATATGACTGTCAGAGGTCACGGAGGATGGTATGAATATGTTGACACATGTTGAGTAATGGAGACTTTGACAGTGGAGGAGCAGGAAATGAAAGTGGTTGCAGGGGGAGACACCTTTGTCCTCAGTCACCATGAGAGTCACTGTTGACATGAGGGCGATAGGAACATTGTATGTGTGTGTGTGTGTGTGTGTGTGTGGTGTATTTATGCGAGACAAAAAAAATGCGTCTGCATCCAAAGTGGGAGGTAAGTGTGTAGGAAATGAAACGGGATATTTGAGTGTCACCAGAAACTAAATTGAGCGTCTTAATTTCTCTTCACCAGAGGAAAACGCTGAGAGGATCATGTTGGACCCAACGTCGCGGGAAAATCTGAAATTTAAAGATCTGCTGAAGGTAGTCTGGGATCATATGTAGTGCTCAAGCATCTCACCTCTTCAGCACAACCAGAGCAGTAACATATATGAAGAAACAGTACAGAGAAGAAGTTTGGCTGTAGTTGTTTATTTTGTTGTGATTTGTGTCCAGGTCCTGATTGACTGGATCAACAGTGAGTTGGAGGAAGATAGGATCATAGTCAAAGACCTGGAGGAGGACTGCTATGATGGACAGGTGCTCCAGAAGCTATTTGGTGAGAAATTGGTTTCTTTGGCATTACAACTCACAACCAATATGAAAAACAGCAGTATTCGTTGTATTAGAGAGTATATAATTCCTGCAATCTGTCAGCACTGTTTCGTGAATATTAAATGTGAAACGACAACATTTATATCAGAGCAAATGCTGCACCATCCAACTGGAAAAAGGAGTCAATTAACAGCAATTTATACATTTTTATTTGCAGCTTGTGGCTTTGATATATAAATGTTTTGGTTTCATAACATGAATTTAATGTTTGACAAAGGTCAATGACCAAAACCTTTTTCAGTACACTCAGTGCTGACTGTGAGCAGATATTCAATACTCTATTTTGCATGCTTTTATTCATTTATGTTTCTGTGTACCAGCTGTGCAATTAGCAAACTAATACAAATCAATCAAAGGAATCATAAGGAATCAAAGGAAATCTGAGCTCTTGTTTATATATTTTTTTTATCTCCGCACAAACGCCACCTTTTTATTGCCGCCTGGCAAAATGTCTCATCCGCTGTGCGAAAATCAAACATCAAGAATTAGCATGTTCAATTACAAAAGCCAGGTAGTACAACACAGGACCGACATTTTGGTTGCATATGTTGCAGAAGTGTTAGAACAACAACTAAAACACAGCAGGAAACATTTTGTTAAGTGATGTGTGATTTGCCTCATTTGTGTTAAAGCCCTTTTTAGTTTTTAGTATCACGGTTACACCTTCTGTTCTCTCAGTCTTTTATTGCATCAGTGTTTTAGATTTAGATATATATATATACAGTATATATATATTTGAACATGCACTCTTGAGATAAGCTTCCTAAATCCTCCGTCTTACTATTGCTTAGAACAGAAAATCCTTGTTGTCTGCAGCCGCCGCATTTGTACATTTTCAAGATCATCGTGTCCTTGTTTTCCAACGGACAAAATCCAAACTAATTCAGGCATGAAGTAGTTTGTATTTTTGGTTTGAAGCACATCTGTTCTTTTATGTAAAGGAAGGCGTCTTTTCACCCGGATTTCATCCCTTTTTCTATGAGTTCCTCTCATTTTTATTTAAACGTTGCATGCTTGCTAGAGTTTACCTGTTCAGCACAACACAATACTGCCGCTTGATGGAAACAATTATTCATGATGATCATCTGTGTATGGAAAGTCTTTCCCTGTGTGTTTGAGCTGATATCTCATCTCCCCTGTTGTTGACAGAAAAGTTGTCTGGCAGGAAGCTGAACGTGGCCGAGGTCACCCAGTCCGAGATCGGCCAAAAGCAGAAGCTTCAGACGGTTTTGGAGGCCGTCAACGAACTGCTGCGGCCTCACGGCTGGACTATTGAGTGGAATGTGGACTGTGAGTTTTACATCGACTTCAGCGCTTTGCTGCTTAAACTGGGACTCCAGCGATTACGTTTTTCACTTCCATAATATTTGGGGAACTCACAAGAGACAGATTAAAAAAGAACGGTTAAAATTGAAGCAGAAGAGATATCTTGATATGGGCCATGCTTCAAAAATACTGCCGAGAATTCCCATAATGCAACTCAATTGCAGAGTTTCTGTTAAATGTTAAGTTTTAAGCCAAGATAACCCTGATGACATCACTATGACACCATTGGGGTTACTTTGGCTAAACACATTGGAGAGCTCCTCTACGGCCACAGAAGACATCATACAACTGTTTTTACAGCTTTTATCCTTGTGACACGCAAACTGAACTTCATGTGCAACATTGGTGGAATGCCTCTTTAACACATAATCTTTTAATTGCATAACAAATGGAAAGTATTTAATCTAGTACTGAGTTTTGAGGAGCTTGCAGCTTTTTCATTTTTAGTTTTGTCTCTTGGAAAAACTGACCTTTTAATCTTAAGAAAATTGCTTGCATCGTTACGTTAGCTTGCAGTGAGCAAACAGCTGACTGTCCTCTCTCATGATTTACTCTCGCAGCGATCCATTCAAAGAACCTGGTGGCTATTGTCTATCTGCTGGTGGCTCTCGCGATGCACTTCCAGGCGCCCATCAGGCTGCCGGAGCATGTCTCTGTGAAGGTGGTTGTCGTCAAGGTAAAGTGGCTCCTCAACCTTATCATTATGTGCAATGATGCAGGGATAGGTACGGAGGTGTAGTTATTGTTACTAATTTATTTTAACTTTCATTTACCCTCACTGAGATTAAGAATGTCTCCCTCAAGATTGGCAACGATAAATGTGACAAACAACATAAAACAGATAATGCAAAATATACCTCAAAATCTAAATTACATAAATGTGTCGATAAAACCACAAATAACATTTCTAATAAAATAATGTCTTAGAAACAACCCAAGAAACCATGCAAATAACAAAGACCCATCCAAAACAATAACATAATGAGTGTAACACATAATATTGATATAGTATAGTGTCAGTTTATGGATAAATGTTTCACTCATCTATCAGTATTTGTCTTGTCCGTACGTGTCATTTTAATAAGTTGCATCAGTTGTAGTGATTTTCTCACGTAGTAACTGAAGCATTTTGATTTTGTTTGAGCAGAAACGAGAGGGAATCCTGCAGACTGCTCTTGTGACCAAGGAGCTGACGAGCACCACAGAGTAAGAGCTTGATGATTGTCTCCACAACCTTCCTCCTTTTATATTCATGCTCTAATAACAATGTTTATTGTTTCTTGTAGTATTATTGAATAGTTTTCTCTCTTTTTGTTTTTCAGAATGATGATGGGAAGGTTTGGTGAGTCCCAGTCACATTTCATCTAACAGTATTATGGAAATGTATTTACCTTTCATTTTTCTTTATTAATCTGCTTTCAAGAATAGTTCAGCATTTTGGGAACTGGGTTGTTCGCTTCCTTGCTGAACGTTAGATGACTAGATCAATCACTCTAATGTGTGTTTGTTAAATATGATGTTACAGCTAGTCTAGCTCCGTATATATAGGTCACAAAATATGTCTTCTCAGACCTCTGAAGCTCACTAATAAACATGTTAAATCTTTTTTGTTTATTAATTCATACAAAAACTACAGTGTAAAAGCAACAATCGGGGGACTATTTCTTGGCTGGGTGCAGTGACTTCCTGTCTACTGCCTCGCAACCCCAGCTGAATAACAACTGTGAAATTACAACTTACCAGGCTAGCTGTTTCCCCCTGTTCCCACTCATTATGCTAAGCTAAGCTAACCATCTGTTAGCTGTAGATGTACATTTACAGGATAGATATGAGAGGGTTATTGATCTTCTTATCTCAAAAATTTTCCAAATTGTCAAACTGTTCCTTTAAGTGTTCCTTACCTTTTGATTTTCTTTTCTTTTTTACAAAGAGAGGGACGCGTTTGACACTCTGTTGGATCACGCACCAGACAAGCTCAACGTGGTGAAAACGGTATTCAAGATCTTATATTTGCGTGATAATATAACAATGATATACATAATAGACAGCATAATGATAATAATATGATTATGCTGTAAAAAACGAATAATAGTTCATTGATCCTGTTACCAGTCTCTTATCACCTTCGTGAACAAACACCTGAACAAGTTGAACCTGGAAGTTACTGAGCTGGAATCTCAGGTAAGAGATTTGATGGTTTATCCAGTCAGTTATTAAAATCATCATAAGTTTGTGTTATGTAACATATTTCCATCCTCTCATCATCCCTCTATTTGCATGCACGATTTTATTTTTCAAATACATATAATCCAATCTGATTTGCGTATGCATTTTAATATTGTACGTGCTGTGAATTGTTGTGCAGTCTGTGTGTATATACTGGATATGTATATATTTATGTCCGTGTGCGTTCAGTTTGCTGATGGCGTGTACCTGATATTGCTGATGGGGCTGCTAGAGGACTACTTTGTCCCTCTGTACAACTTCTTCCTCACCCCTGAGAACTTCGAACAGAAGGTGATCACACCCTCAAAAAGTGACGTGTGTCGGTTAAATGGGAAGATGTTTAGCAACTCATCAGTACATTGAGCTTCCACATTGTGTCCCCCCCTCAGGTCCACAATGTGGCGTTTGCCTTTGAGCTGATGCAGGATGGAGGCCTGAAGAAACCCAAAGCCAGACCAGAAGGTATGTTATAGACATTGGGGGCCATTTGAAAAGGGTGTTTAATGGTTGGCGTCTTACAGTAGCAGTCATATTATAGGTTGTCCAGTAGATGGAGACGTTGTCTTACCCTTAAACTTTCATACTGGATGGATGGTGCTGAGTTCGTTCTGCCCTGAGCTACATGTTTGAATGAACCATCCTGTTCTTTTTAAAGAGAGCTTACACTTAACGAATCAAAATATGTCTTACTGGCTTCACGTAGTTATTACGTTGACTATTATTTCATAAGTACGTATTTCCCCTGTTTTTCACACATTTCATTTTGCTCTACAAACCCCCTGTAGAGTTAGAGACGCTATTACAGGAATAGCTTTCAGTTATCGAATACAGTTGACTTACTTTAACTGTAATCAGCATTTGACTCTACTGAAGACTTCAAATTGATATCTCGTACTCTTACTCATTTTAATCCACAGCATATGATATTGAAAGAATAACGTGTTCGATGTTTTGCTGTGCGACTTTAAATAAAACCATTAACAGTCAGTACAATCGTGTCAGCTCAATATATTTAAGAACACTTATTTAACTATAAAGTACACTTCTCTTGTGTGTACTTATATAATTCTCAGAGCTACTTTAAATATTCACGTTTTGCTCCACATGCTCGTCCCACATGTGCCCATATTTCATGTCCCACATTCCAGTTTTCAATCACTTATGTTCTACAAAGTAATGCACTGTATATACTGTTGCTATTGCGCTTTGTATTTGTTATTTTCTTTGGCATTAATTGCTTTTTAAATGTTGATTTAATTTTCATCTGTTGTATTATAAGTGCACTAGTCCTTGAAGATATATTATACTGCTCAATTGTGAATTTGATTATAACTATTTTAATCTATCTAACTTTCAAAATGTGTAAATATTGTTTTCCTCCACACGGTATTAATGAAAATGCTTTTCCCTTATTCAAACATTTTTTTTTGAGTAAGCCAAAAAGGAAATATTTCTCCCCAGCAAAAAACTATTTTCTTTGCAGTAATTGGACATTATAACTATTATTTTCATACTAATATTATCTTCCAACTGCGCTGCCCCGACAGTTATGTGTTCTGATTAGTATTCAGTTGGCTGAGGTTTGTGCACATCTGCAGGTTCATTATAAACTAAATGTATGACATCAACAGTGTCACCCAAGCTAACAGGGATATGCAGACGATAAGGAGCTGAAGGCGTCCTAGTTTAAATGGTCACGCAATATGACACTGCTGTATTAAAATGATGTCTGAATCACTTAACAAAGACCTAGTTGTGATGATAAATTACGAGAAACAAATAGGCACTGATGTAGGACATCATGTTACTGATGAAGAGAACAGAACGTGTTTTTGTGCACTCCTGGTAAGAAGTAGTACATCAAATGATCTATGATGAGCTATTTTAAGCTCCAATTCGTTTTCTAAATTACAAATAACCTTTTAAGGAAAGTAGTCCAAAAGCAATCACAGAACAAGCTCGTTCGCATTGTGAACATGCTTTTATGGTAGCACAGCTCATTTATTTTGTGCTTCAGTGTTAAAGGATCTAATTTCTTATCATATAAGATTAGTTTTTGTGCATGTCAAAGGTCTAATTCTTTCTTCCTGAAACTCCTCAAAACAAGTTCAGCACACTACAGATCTCTGCTGTGTCCATTTTGTGTTCCAGATGTTGTCAACCTGAACCTAAAATCCACCCTCAGAGTCCTCTACAACCTGTTCACCAACTACAAAAACTCTGAGTGAACTTTTCCAGTTTCACCCCCTGATGTTACTTATGAATGCTACCCTGTCCCTGTGCTGATATTATGCGTGACGGTCTGGACGCTGGAGGAGACCAACTGGGACTGAAAGTCATCATTATGTGGGACTTATAAAGACCCACAGGGAGTAGCCTGAAAAAGGTCTGAATGTTAGTTCTTTATCTTCTCCAAATGTCAGTATTTATTTATTCCTTCCTTGAATGTTAAATTCAACCCAGGAAACTGCGACCTTTAGCCTGCATTTGAATACTCAGCCATCACAGGAATAATGAATGAGGGCAGGATGTGAAAACTGCAAAACATTTCCGTGTTAACTCCAGAATATTTAAGAAAGTTGAAAATTTTATTATATATTAATAGTATCAAAAATGAATTTGTGTAAATATTAAAAGAATAGTTTTGGGAAAGACACATATTTGCTTTCTTGCCAAGAGTTCGATGAGAAGATTGACACCGAGCTCATCTTTGAATGCTAAATATTAAACTAACTTTAGAGGCAGCTGCCGGTTAGCTTAGCTTAGCATAAAAAGACCAGAAATGGGGGAAACTGCTTGTCTGGTCCCGATGAAAGATTACACAATCTGCGTAAAGCTCATGTTTAACACATTATATCCATAGACGACAATAACTGTGCACCAGATAGAAAGGTAGTGATACCTTTATTTTATAAGGAAATCCGTGCCATTAAACCTATACATCGTTTCAACGAAATTGCATTGCAAGGCAACAGCTTGGGTCCATGTTTACTTCCATTCAGTCGACTGATTCCATTCACATACACTGGAACAAGGAATATAGTTCGTAGCACTGCAAAAGGAAATAAACTGGGACTAATTTGTAATGTTTAGGTTTATGACTGAAATGGTTTATATACTGTACATTTAAAAATGCAAATGTATTTATTGTAGCTCACTAAGCACATCTAATTGCAACATAATTGTCCATCAGAGTCAAAAGCTGAGATGGCGGTTACATGCTATTCTGTGTATCGTTAGCAATTGTTCATCTTGCTCCATCATGACTGGAATTAGCTAATTTACTTATGATTAAAAATTGTTTTCCTTTGTTTCCCCCTGCTTCCATCTTAATGCTAAGCTAAGCTCACCGGCGGATGGCTGTAGCCCCATATTTGTGGACTCATTGTCGGGTGTTATTGATCTTCTCCCGCAGACTAACTCTTGACAAGAAAGCAAATGCGCATTTTTCTCCAAACTATTCCTTTAAGAAAGTTGAAAATGCAATGTATTCTATAATATCTGAAAATACTTTGTATATTCTTACTACTACTGACAGCTGAAGGAACTGTGAACAGTCCTTCGTTTACTCTGAACTATGCAGACCACATCACAAGCCATATTTAAAAGCCAATGCTGTTGCCTTAAGTGCAGCGGGCTCTCTCCGTCCCGGGAGAGCTCCAGTCAGAGTATCTTCGTATTCACGGGCCTTTCAGACGAGTCTCAGAGGAGGCCTGGACCACACAGTGCCCTCCTGATGCAGAGCATTTGCCCGCCGTGCCACCTGGAGACCTGCTAAGATGTACAGTGCACGACTTGTGCATTTCAGAGCCGGGTCTGAATTATTAAGAAAGTGGATGAGTCAATCTAAACCGTGCTTGCGCTGGATGTCTCACCTCTGTGTGTGCTTTTTTTTATTTTCATCTTGCCTATCAAGAAATAAACGCCTGAAATCAAACAGAGTGAGAATTTCATTACATCTCTTACTTGTGTGATGGGTTAGATTTGCTTCGGCTTTTGAGCGAGATTGGCTTTGGAACGGCCAATTCCTGCAATTTGGGTTTCGCTAAAGGAATTATGGGGTTTATTTTAGACCTTTATTTTCTTTTCTCATTCCTTTGTTGCTATGGTAACCTTCCACATCCCCCAAATTGCCCCTTCGTCTGGCTGATGGGTGGTCCCTTCTTCTATTCTTCAACTAGGCTGGTGCGCATGCAGAGCTTTTTGTTGTGTTGTCTCTGTCTATCTCTTTCGCTTTCTTTCTTTCTTTTTTTTTGTTCTTTGCTGGAGAACGGAGAAGGCTGGAGACCAGACGACAGTGAATTGATCCAGTCACAGATGGAGATGTGTGAGTCGAGTCTGAGTGGTTCAGATCTCTGAGTGTCACGTTTCTCTCGGCCCTCCTGAAGTGTGGTTTTCCAAACAATTCATTTGCACCCAAGAGTCCTGCTTGTTTTCTCTTTCTCTCGACACATGCTTATGATTAAAGCTTCATACAGTTCGTGACACAGAATATAGACGCCCTTATCTAAAAAAAAAAAAATGCTGTGCAAAGGCAGTACCAAAAAGAGGAAGTGCTACCTTCTTCTCTGCCACATCCTCTCTTTTGTGCTTATCTTCCCTTTCGGCCCTGTGACATGTTATTGTCTTTTAAAGCAATGGTTTCAAACGCAGCGCAGTTAGACCTTTTGCTGAGATCGAGTGCAGCCCTCCCCTTCTTATATTGCTGTTATGACAGTCCGTGAAAACATCAGTTAAGGAACTCAATTCAGCTGAAGTCATCCGATTCTGTCGAGTCGTTCTCAAGAGTGTCGAAGGTAAGCTCATTCAAAAAGGCTTTTTGTTTGTGACCTTGTTTGAAAGTCTCTGTCAAAGTCAGGAAAAGGAAGCCCCACACACTTAAAACACACAGGGAAAGTTAAGTTTCTCACCGGTAGCTTTTCTCTTCTTCACATCCAGGAAACAACCGTTTGACACGCTCCAGGTCACGTCTGTTTAGTGAGGGTTACTTTATGTGTTTGCTGTGCTTTGTCTCAAGACCGTGTGATTCAAAAAGAATGTTCAGAGGGAGAGGTGCAGCTCTGCAAATCTGCAGGGGGGGGGGGGGGCTACAGTACTTGAACTGTAGAGTGTACCGCTTTAAAAGAGAAAAGGAAGTGAGGAAACTAAACATCTTCCTTTTCAGTTTTGTTTTTAGAAACTTCTTAACATCCTCAATGATAAAACAAACCCTTTCAAAACCCAACTCTGGAAACCCACTGAGCACAAATTGTTTTTCTTTGTACACCAAGAAGCAGAAGTTTGGATTTCCATGCAACAGTAAGCTGCCTGGCAGTGCAATCAGCCTCCGCCACTGCTGGCCAGCGAGTAACTCTGCTGCAGCAGTTGGAAGTTGAGCAAATTATGGTCAAGGACACTTACTGAGCCCCTGTTGAGAGAGAGAAGGAGAAAAAGTTTCCAACAAACATGGTGATGCATGGAGAAAGTGTTTCTTCATTCTGGTTTCGTGGTTTGTATTCAAGCTCTTCTTCTCTGCAGGTTCTGCTGACGGGTATCTTGAATATCTCGTCTTGAGGAGAAGCGATGGAGGCTGCTATCTTTGAGTATCACAAAGAGGATGACACTGTGGACATCGAGGCTTTTCAGGGTCAGTCAATCAGGATTCATGTAATACATTCAGTCTTGATGCAATACTCACACCTACATATATGTACATTGAAAGAGTTAGTAGGGCATGCCTTAGGGCATGTTTCACTATGTTCACTAGATATTGCTAACATGGCCAGTCTGCTGTTTGATGGGTAAATCAATACTTTTCCTTTTGAAAATGGCTGAATGCATCAATATGAACATAGGACATAAAACCAAAACAATGAGCTCAAACCGCTAAAACAAAAAAAGACATTGAACAAGCAGCTTTAAACTGCATTATCACGCCACAATAATGTAAGATTGATAGAAAATAATGCAGATCAAATGTTCAATGAGGTTTATTACACAGGTTATGCATGTAAAAGGCTGTAAAATAAGAAACAATATGATTTGACCAATGCAGTTTGTAAATATATTCACACAGGAGAGAAGCAGAAGGTCATTCAGCCAATGTCTTTAAAAGACCCCAAACTAGAAAAACTAAAAGAGGTAAGAGATGAATTCCTGTTGTCTACATATAGAGTTTTGTCTGAATCTATGTCTTCGATTAAAGATTTACTGCAGCATCAAAGCTCCTCCTGGACTACAAAGGGAGTGTTTCCTGAGTGGAGATGAATGCTACACAGGAAATACATTACAGAGCCTGCATGTATATGTGAGCAGTGAAGAGCATGAATAATATCTGACGCAGGGAGAGAGGTTGGTGAAATTTTAATGAACATAATTATCAGAGGTGATGGGATACAGCTATGTGAGTCACGTCCAGGAGTCGTCGGCAGAGTCTGCTGGATCTGACTTCAAAACAAGGTTTTGATTGGAAAAGATGGCAGCACAAGTGCTTCATGCAAGCGGCACTGAATGAGTAAATAACTCAGTAAGCCTGGCATGTCTCATATATGGAGTCGGGAGGGCAAACAAATAAAATCCAGTTATTTTGGGGGGAGTATTTTGTATTTGTCATCGTTTCCATCTACTTCAGGATCGTATTATCTTTGAAAATCAATTAAGAGAATAAAAAAAAAAAGGTTTCATGCTGTTTTTCATTTGACACATTGGAAACAGAAAGATGTATGCAAGAAGATACGGCTGGTGTTTGTATCTGACTGTGTGATGAATTGTGTTTTGGTAGGCACTGGTTTATTGGATCAATAGCACTTTGAAATCGGAGCACATAGTGGTTCAGAGTCTGGAGGAGGATCTGTATGATGGACTGGTGCTTCATCACCTGCTGTGTGAGTTAATACACATTTGTATGAAAGGCTAGTGCGGTCGTTGTAGTTCACCCAAAAGCTTGTCATTTATAATATACAAAACAAAGCCCTTGACAATAAAACATCAGTGTTGTTATTATTACATTTTGTAAAAATAAATTAAGAAATAAATTAAATTAATAAAAATAATGATGATAATTGTAATAATTGTAATAATTATGATTGTGCTTAAAATGATAATACTAATAATCTGCATCATCTTTATTATCATATAATTATAATAATATATATACACAGGGAGAGTATATCATTAAAATTTCCTGATTTCCACAGCCAGGTTGGCCGGTGTGCACGTGTCTGTGGAGGAGATGGCACTGACCAGCCTTGCTCAGATCCGCAAGCTGGGAATGATCGTGGAGGAGTTGGACAAGAGACTGGGCCTGCAGGACAGCAGTCAGATCAAGTGGAACGCCAAACGTGAGTCATGCAGCTGACTCGGCTCGAAGCAACAAGAGAACAAACGTTCCCTTCTGGCAACGTCTTCAAATTACATCGGGATTTGGTGCTAGCTCGAGGATGCCATGTTTGCTCACACCAACTGTGAGGGATTTTGGTGTAGATAAACACGATGGGGTTCTGTTTGAATTACCTGTCAGTGGATTTTATTTTTTCTGCCCTGGCATTGGGTTAGAGAATTTTATCAACAACTGAGCACCTAAGTGTGAGTTGCATCATCTGAACTTTTACTACATGAATTATATGACTGAAAGGACGTAAACCGAAAAAATTTGCCAAAAATGACCATTGTCTTGTTTGGTTTTAAAAGATTGTGGTGAGCACTTACCTCTGACAAATACATTGCATATCCTGCAACCCCATGTTTCACCAATGGCATGCTTTTAATGTGAAGCAGCAGTCGTAGGAAATGTTTGATAGGGCTGTAGAAGAGTGCACAGTGAACAATGAGGCTAATAAAGAAAGAGGATAATTACATGTTGCATCATTTCCTGTGATCCCCACATGTGTGTAGGAATTGCATATATAGGCAATTGAATCCAGGACGGGATTGGCGGACTCCGCCATTAAGCATAGTGGGCATTTCTGGCACCACTTCACCTTCTTCTAAAGAACATGGAGTGGGGGGAAAAGTCTGAAGTGATCAAAACCCCAGCAACACTTATACTACTGTAAAGAACTGACGCTTTGATCTCTTCAGACCACTAACAATGAAAACTACATTGTTTACATAAAATGGCTTTCGCTGAAAAAAAATGCGGACCATAAATAGTATCAAAAACAGGGTTAGATTTCATGATTATAACGTAAAGTTTTCAGTATTAAATTTCCGTTCGTGTTCATGTCGTATGTGTGTTTTGTTCCCTGCTCTTCGCCTGTCAGTCATCCACAACAAAGACCTTCTGGCCACGATTCATCTGCTGGTTGCCATGGTGAGAGCGTTCCAGCCTGAACTGGATTTGCCTCCGAACGTGTCGGTTGAAGTTGTAGTTGTGGAAGTGAGTTTCAACTTTTCTCCAAATCTTAAACACACACCTTGTGTAATTGCTTCTGAGCTTTGGTTCATTTTCATGCAGGTGAGCAGAAGTGGCATCAACTCAGATGTACAGACGGAGGTGCTGACAGAGGAGAGGTGAGCCGTTTTATGTCCTGTGTGATTCTGTGAATGTGATGAAAACACCTCATGTTTTTTTTGTGTGTGTCTTTTTCAACAGGGACGCAAGCTCAGACTCCCAAAGCAAGACTGAAAGTGAGTACAAAGCTGTCGGAGGTTGAGACGATCTGACATTTTGAATGTCACTGAAGCAGCATTTCAGCCCACGATGACTTTAACACAGTTTTCTCTCTGACTGGTCACTCAGGGGACGATCCCATCGAGCAACTGCTAAAGCTGGAGGCTCACAAGGTCAACATGGTGAAGAAGGTATAACAAGGAGAGGAGAAGTTAACTGTTGCACCTCTACCAGCAGTGAGAGAGCAAATGTCGTTGTGTAAAGACAGGATATAAATAACTATAATTTGTTTGTCGAATTAACTTATAAACCTGAAAACAAACATGATGAATGATACCTGAAATTATCAAATGGGAAAGCAATGTTTTTCATGTATATTATATTTGCGAATGGATCAAAGTATTCAAATCAATTAGCAATTCAAAATAGGGCTTGAAGCGACTATTTTAATTAGTGATTCACGTGCTAATCATTTGTTTTTGATTAATTGATTCATCATTTGGGCTATAAAATGTTATGAAATTGTGAAAAATATTTGAAAGCTCAATGGAATGCCATCATGTTGCTTTCTTCAAAACCCCAAAGACCTTTTCAGTGACTTCAACGAATAATTGATTATCAAAATAGTTGCCAATTATTTGATAAATCAACTAATTAAAAAAGGGCTGCTCATAATGATTATTATGAATGATTTGATTACTATTTAAATATTTGATTCATCATTTAGTCTATAAAACTTTAGGAAATAATGATATTTGAGATTTCATGTTGATACATACCTAATATGTCAACAAAATAAGACCAACTTGTATTTCAAACTGCCAAACTTTGTCCATTTTCAGGCCATCTTACACTTTGTGAACCAGAATATGTCATCCATGGGTCTGCAGGTGGCTCATATGGACAAACAGGTAAAAACAACAACAACAGTCGAACACCTTTGGAGCATTCCTGTAAAAAAAGAAAAAGAAAAAAGACTCATTGATTATATCACCTTCCTTGGACGGGCTCCGATCTCCGGTGTGTTTTCTGTCTATAGTTCGCTGACGGTGTGATTCTGCTGCTGCTGATCGGACAGCTGGAAGGCTTCTTCGTCCCGCTGTATCACTTCAACCTGACTCCCGTCAGTCACTCTGAGATGGTACAGTCGTGATTCCTGACGCATTAGTAAAGGAAGTGCATCGCCAAACACACGCATACAATACTTACCTTATTTGGTATTTGTAGATGCTCACAGGTGATGTGAGTTTAATTTGCAACATATTTATTTAATAAAATCAACCGGTCAGAAGAGACATTACCAATTTCAATTAGGATTCATTTCATTTTTGAGTGATATTTTTTGAAAGTGAAGATATGCACAGACTCATTTTCAGATAATCTAATTTTGCACAAGAGCATGGCGGATAATGAGCTTCAGTACTGAAACCTGATCCCAAATTATATCTATTACAATATTAGATATGATCAAATGAATATTTTACTATTCCCATGATAAAAGTAGATGCATAATTACTTCTGTGTCACTTATAATGATATCTTTGATCTCACTTTACCTGAAGCAATAGGACTTGTCTATAAAAAGTTACGACTCTTTTATCACAGATATGAGCAGTTTATGAATAACTTAATATATAAAACACATTATTTATCAGCCTGATCCATAATACCTCATGGTATAGTATGTTTCACACAGTTTTATAATGTACGCTGACTTATAATGCCACAACATATTAAATTAATATATACTCATATCATAAAATCATTGAAACTCAACAAAGATGATACATTTAATTTAAGTGATACATACATGGATTGTAATCCAATCATATAATTTACTTTAATCTGAAATGAGCAATTATTAGTTTAAACTAATACTGTTGTACTATTACATCGTAAAAACTTTAATGCAGGACTTTTACCTGTAACTGAGTATTTCTACGCAGTGGTATTGATACTTTTAAATAAGTAAAAGTTCAGAATACTTCTTCCACCACTGAAGAGAAAAGTTTTACCAAACTATGCTAATATATATCAGTGGGTAAATTAAACAGAATCGAATATCTTTTTATAACATTTGTTTATGTAAATGTGGCATCTGGATTTTGTGTTTGAAATTGTTCTAAATCTCTTTCACCTCTAGCTTCACAACGTGACCTTAGCCTTGGATCTCCTTAATGGCACAGGCCTTCAGGTGTCCAGTGTTGATCCACAAGGTGAGGAAACAACACACACTGCTCACACAACATACACACTCAGCCTGGTTGACAACAGAATAAACTCAAATTAAAATGCCAGGCACTGAGGATGGACAAAAAACAACAACAGTAAAATGATTGCAACAGAACAACACCAGAGCTCCTAGACAGCAATATCAAACGATTCTGGATGGTATCAACTATCGAGAGCATTTATCTGTGTGACAGGGAAAAGCCCAAATCTGTTTGTATGTCAGGTATCAGGCGAAGGAGGAGGCGGATTGCCCGGATTGTTTGATTTAATCTCCGCTGCTCTGTGGAGTGCGGGTTTGACAGTGATTTGGAGGGAAAGATGAAATCGCTTGCGGAATATGTGACTAGTGTCTCGATCCCTGCGGATGATTGTCTCAGTCCGAGGTCATCATCATTCATTTAGAGAGACGCGGCGAGGGAGACAATCTCAAGGGGACGATGCCACTCTGGTGCCCGATGATAGACACGGGGATTTAACCTCAACGCTATGGCTACATCGTGTGTGTGTGTGTGTGTGTGTCTGGAGGAAGATATGGTACTGTATCTGTATTCATGAGTACTGTGTACCACCCAGTTATCAGACACATCCCAGAAATATTATGATCGTGTCTGTGGACTGTAAAAAGTCCTCGTTAGTTTTTGTGTTTGTCAGTTTCAACTTGCAACTGCCAGTTATCAGATTTCCCACCGTAAAATCATGATTTCATGAAGCGTGAGCATTCATCTAAATGATCATACACCAGTGAAAGCACTACATTGCTTTCTGCTTGGTTTAATAAAGTGAGGGTAGGTAAACTGGTAAACTCACTATTTTGATGAATTTACTATTGGTTTACATATTAGTTAAGCTATTTGACATTAACAACTACCAATATAACAAAAGAATTCAGGTCATAATTCAGATCATTTGCCCGATAAATGTTTCACCATGGAAGATATTTGTTGATTTAACATTAAATCCACTCATGTAATTCATTTAAAACGCAATCAAATAACTAAAATAAGAGAAGAGCAAAATAGAGCAACTGACTAATCTAAGTGTGTGAATCAATCAATAGCAAATGGATCTCCCTCACTTCTCTGCAGATCCGTTATTGACGAGACTCTTTGTATTCTGAGCTCGAATCACACCCACTAGAGCTTCTCCACAATATTGTCTGCCAGCCTGTAATTGTGAAGCAAATCCTCAACACGATAACTGTTAATGTTTGGACCAGCACAATTAATCTAAGCCAGGAGCAAGTGGGTAATTTAATTCACTTTTAGTGTCTTTTTAATTACTGGCATAATTACAGTGATGGAATGAGGAATCCCAGCACTGAGGGTCTAAAAGCGGGAGCATTAATTAGGTTAGCCAGTGGTGGAGTGGAACCTAATGTCACATTCATTCAGTTAGTGCATCTTACAAACAGAGTGCAATTTTGTTGGGATCTCGTCTCACCGAGGACGTATTGATTAAATGTCCATTTAATGTATCGGCATGTCCTCACTGCATCAGTGGCTTGGTAGATGCTGAAGGTGCATTATAAATACGCAGTAAATGTCTCCTGATTGTTTGACAGATATCGTCTCTCAGGACGACACCGCCACCTTGAAGGTCCTGTACGCCCTGTTCAAGAAGCACAAAGGGAAATGAGAAAAGGAAGAGGAACTCAGCAAACAGGAACACAAACAGAGCTGAAGAAAAGATGAGAAACTGTTACGAATGCTAAAGTTGAAGTTGACTGTTCATAGACTTTTTGCTGATGCTCGCAAGCTAATTTAAAAGAATAAAGTACATGAAGCTTGATTAACGAGTCATGCATAATCAACGATATCGGTGTCTATAATGGCAGAGTCAGACCAGCATCAAAACTTTGGATCAAAATCAATTATTTTCGCCAGAGTCCATTCCCGTGAACGCGATACCTCAGGAGAGAATTCCTTGAAAATTTGGCACAAATGTCCACTTTGACTCAAGGATGAACTGATTAGTTTTTGGCCATAACTCAAGAATTCATATGCTAATTATGATAATTTTACACAAATGTCTGCTAGGATAAAACGATGAAGTGGTAACATTTTGAACAGATGTTAACTGTAACTTAACTCTTGATGGAGGCATACAACTGCCAGGCGGTAATTCTAGTCTTTCTTTATTTTTTATACATGTTTCTAATATGTGGTGTGGATGTGTAACCCGATGTTATTTCCCATTTCCGCTATCTCTTGCTCTCTTTCCTTCACTGTGTGACAGTGCTGAAACATGGCACTTTTAATTCTTGCTATAGAAAACTTTAACTGCCACTTCTCAATAAACAGTGTGAATTTAGTCCTCTGCTTCCTCCATGTGTTCCTGCTGACAGTCTGTGACCTCCTCGTTTTCTAGTCTGTGAATGCTATCGTCAGTTCTGTCATTTATTGTTTTTTGCCATTGAATTGTTCACAACTCAATGTCACACACACATGTAGCGAGTCAGGCAGCGATGGAGGCAGGCTCAGAGAATGAGAGACAGACAATGGATGTGATACCATCAAAGCATTTTTTGCAAATTTAAAAACTGCAAAATTGTTATCCTTTGTGTTGGAAAGACGTGTAATTCCTTTGTTTGAAAGAAATGTATTCTAACCATGAGTGACTTAAATATAAATATATTTCCACTGCTATCTTTTGTGGATTTAGCTTGTGTATTAGCAAATTGCAGCGTGAATTTCTTTGTTTTTTTATTCAAGGTTAAAGGAACTATAAACAGTAACAACAGCGACTTTCACACTTCCTATTCAGTTCTCCCAGTTTTCATGCAGATGTGTTTGTTGACATTCAGGAAGCCAATTTATTCGTTTCCACCACTGTGATGGAAAATACTCTAAATTCACATTTTATTTCCCCTGACATTTCAAAAGGTTTGCATAAAATTGTCTTGGCAGTCAGATGGAAACACAGCTAGAGAGAGACAGACAGAAAGACAAAGAGACACTGAGGGGTGTGTTGCTCTTGTTCAACATGTAAATTGACACATTTCAGCGAGCAGTTAAAGTATTATGAAATCAAAATGGCTTATCTTCTGTTTTTCAATTTACAGCCCTTGAACTCCACATCCCGAGTGATAGTAAACAAGATTTACTTGTTGAAAATTAAATTGCACATTGCTTTATGAAAAGCAAAACCCATTGTAGTACATGACCAACCAATAAAGTGCCGTCCATTTGCATTTTACGGCCTGACGACTACAAATTGTAATTGTATTTCATAGTCGGGTGTTACATATCCCATCCAATCATACATGTTTGCTTGTCATCGCTTACATTAGGTGGTCCATATAAATATCTGTCATTAAATCTTTCTGCATGTTGCCTTTTATGTAACTTCCTTCACCTCATCTGACTCTTCTATTCTTATATTCATATTGTTTTGTATGTGAATGTTAAATGAAATGTATGTTCTTTTTCATCAAATGTTGGGTATTTCAGGGTCAGTCGAAGGGGTTTTGAGCTCAGGGACAGTCCGTATGAAGCTTGCTAATATATTTTTCAAAGAATAAAATGTGTGTTATTGTTGCAATAAATGGCTAAAACCTTGGTGCAAAAGGGACATGAATGAACTGTTTGTACTCAGCCTTCTAACAGAATCTGTAAATGACATGGATTAAACAATATTCATTGAAATGTACTAAATTATTTATCTGTTTCTTTATCTATGAACAGTCTTGTTTCAGACATACTTGTCTGAAACAAGACTGTAGAATTGGCATGAACAGACTGTAAGACTGTTAATGCCAAATCTAACATATCTTGTATGTTTTGTTTCATATTGTGTTTAAGCTACCTACCCTGAATTCATTTGAGGCACGGATGTGAACATTTTTGAAATACTGAAACAAGCTTGATAAATCACAATGTGTGTTCATTATGTGCAAACATTTGTGGCTCTGACACGCTATTGTGATGATCTTAAAGACACAGTGAAAGATGAGGGGGATTAATGTCTTTTAGCCACTGTATACATGTCAGGAAATCAGTCATCAGTTTCTAAACCATCAGAACAAACAAGGATAAATTTCAAGATAAACGTCTGAGGGATTAAACCTGTTCTGCTCCAACGACAACACCTTCTTCTGCCTTCATTAGGACTCCACATCACCACTCAACATTGTAAAACAGTCACTGTAAAGAGATAACTAACTTATATTGCCTCTTATGCATGGGCTGAGAATGTTTTAGAAATCATTAAATCATGTTTGATGCTACTGTGAGTATATTTTACAGCCTGGGTGACCACACCGGAGGATTTCTCAAACTGACAGTTTTGGAGAAAACAAATGATGTCCCTCTGCAAACCCACTGGAGTCCATCCAAAATGTTCACAGGAAACATGAGTGATGTTTGCCTAACTTGTCACACTGAACAGACGCATCTCTCTGTGGATTGAAAGGGGAGCAGAGCTAACAAAGCAGCATCGCTCCCATCACTCAGCTGCTGTATAAGTGGGTTTATAAGTTATCACAGAGGTGACAGTATCATGGGAGTGTCAAACCTAAAGAATTAAGAGAGATATAATTAAGCCAAATAGCTTGAGATGTGTTCAAAGCAGTTAAATGTATTTGTACAGCACATTTCATGTACTGAACATTACTCAACATAAAAATGACGATAGACACAAGATGACTAAAAATCAAAAAGGACAGACGAAGACATGTGGACAGGTCATATGTCTAAAAGGGTGGAAAGATGCAAGAGCCTGCACACGGCTCTCAACACAGAGATGTCTAAGGCAGCGTGTAGCAGCTAACAGTGCTAACAATGACAACAGTGCTGCAACATAAAGGAGACAAGCCGAGTGATAAAAGTAATAAATACACATTTATTCAAGGTGTTCCATGTTCTGTTCAAGATAGATGGACAGAGAGTCACATAATTACACACAAAATCCACCCAGAAAAGAACTGGTAATAATAATTAACATAAAGCTATTTGCTCAAAAATAATTTCTTTAACCTTTGAAATAACACAATCAGTTTTTATAGGTTTGTCCTCATTTTAACCCTCAGCAGGCTGTGTTGGAGTGGGAAAGTAATGGCAGCAGACAGAAAGGGGGCATTGTGAAATGAATAACGAGAAGCAGGTTTAAAAAATGTATTGGCTTGTGTCATAATTGCATGGTTTTATTAGATATTTTTCATATGAATGAATCCCTGATATCCTCCCTCAAGCTCCCATAGAAAAGCTAATGGAGGTGGGGTGGTCAAACAGATGTTTATTTGTCAAGCTGCAATTTATAATATATCAAACGAGACGTTAGTGCCCCGCCCACTCGTTAGCTAACTTTTTACTGTAGCTACATCCATGCGCTGAACACCTTTATAGCTAATGCCCTCCCTCTACTTGGCTCTGTTGAATTGGTGTTTGTGTGCTTGGGATTATTAATCAGTTATGAGACTGTTTCATTTTTCTCTCAGATCTAACGTTATCTTTGCGTTTGCTGACTGTTTTCTACTTTTATGCTGCAGTAATTAAATTAGCTGACAGTGTTGGTGTCAGCATTAATTGTAAATTACCTTCTTGAAGTGAATGACAGTGACATTATTTTTCTTTGGGTTTGTGTTGGCACTTACATTGGGATGCTTTCATACTGTCTATTTACATACTGGAGAAATACACATGTTTGAGTGTTATGAGTTGGTTTTGTGTATATTTCCCTGTTGGTGGCATGTTGCTGTTGTTTTGAGGGCTCATGGCAAGCCAGATCTGTTGTAGAAAAAATTATTTTGTGGCTTCAGGGCTGTAAGCATGACTTCACACAGCTCATTCACATAATTGTAATCCGGTAATATTGGCTTCATGGGGAGCTCAGTATGGCTTTTGTTTCATTTTCTCCACACATTTCATATTCATCTGAGCATTAGAGGAATATTTAAACTGAGAGCAATGGGTTTGTGTGACAGCTTGCTTTACTATTCTTCATACCAACATATCAATTACATCTTAACTGCTGAGCCCTTGTTTCCTTGTGTCATTAATCCGACATTCAGCTGCACTCATGGATACAGCATTGCATTTTTTGTGAGTTTAATATGCATAATAATTATCTGCTGCACAGATGACGTGTCTTAGCTTGCTGCTGCAAATCATGTGGACTGTGGTGATTGTGGTATACTCCCTACAGTTTTGGGGAATTAACTTTTATTATTTACTCTCGATCTCTCACTTGTGTTGAGCTTGGTGTGGGATCAAATATTAGCTATTTACATAATACATCTGTTTCCATGTGAGATAGCTGACTTGGCTCTAATGAAAACTACAAAACCAATTTGCATAAAATGATCATCAATGACTACAGCCTGTGAACATGTTAACTAATATAATACCAAGAAATATTAAGTAAATGAAGTTTACTGACTCTGAAAAACAAAAACATTTATTTTTTCTGACTTTTCTCTAATCTTACACGTCTAAAAACTGCTATAATTACTCAATCAATCTAAAAGGCTAATCACTCTTTGGTTAAACTGCTCACATCTCATAGATACTTGCAACCTGTGACAAAAGTTTGCAAGTAAACACTGCTTGACCGTAAATGAGCCACACGCCAAAAAAGGCTGGGAACTACTGATTTAAAAAGTATATTAAGATTATACACAGATTCAGGTTATTTTGGTCACGTATTAGCAGAACAAAATACACAGAATAGCCCTTTTGCAACCTGACAGGAAAAGAAGGTGGGGAAGGTGAGGCTAAAAATTAGAGACACGTGTGAGCTGGGGGAAGGGAAAATAATTAACTAACAGAAGCTGCATGGAGGAGAACTGAGAGAGGAGTGAGAGAGGCAGCTACTGAAAGTATTATTCAGTTTCTGGACCTGTTACACTCAAACTAAGAAATAGTTGAGGTATACTAAACTAAATCGGAGCAGCAGGTTATCCATGAACCGGCTGGATACAAGGAACTTTTTTGGACGACAAGGCCTTACTGGAGGTGTGCTGATCCTGGGAGCAGGTGGTTGAAAAGGAATCTTGTTCAGCTCCAGCTTGGACCAGCTTGGGCCTCCTTAACTCCATTGATCCATCAAGATAAGTCCCTTTAATGCAACTCTCCAGGCTCCTCCTTCTTTTCTCCCAAAAACAACCACACACCCTGAAATAAACTGAATGGGACTGAAATGAACTGCCTTTCATCATACTACAAACGATGAACTGCAATATATATTGAAGACATAGCAGGTCAGAGGTCAGAGTTCACCATCCTGGTGGCGTGTTGAAAGAAGCTTATACATATTTTCTCTTTGATGGACAATAAATTAGCCAAAACCATACTTTAGTCTGGCACTATCCGTTCTTTGCATCGGCTAGGTGTGGTCCACCAAGGCACTTAAAACGGCTTGTTTAAATGGACGTCATGAAACGGTAACATTAATATCGACTTCTTCAGATGGATCTTAATGTGGTGTAACTGCCACAGAAGATCCGGCCTGAGCAGACGGGGCATCAGGGAGACGAGGCCTAATGGAGTTTTAATAGATAAATGTTTGCAGGATGTATCTCGGGCTCCTCAATAACAGCAGGATGTAGAAATCCAGACAACGATTTTTAAATGGAGATGGATGGCAGCAATTGTATTCATATGCGCATTTGTGCAGATGGCAAGAGTGTTGGTTACTGGCATACTGGAAGGAGGAGGACACAGATGGAGGAGTAAGTAGAGAGTGAGGAAGCAGTTTGATAAGCAGAACCTTGACAGAATGATCGACGGAGGTGGATGAAGGTGGGGTGAAAGTAGAAGTCAGAGCTTATTAGGAAAGCGCAAAGGGACCTTGACGATGTGGAACAAACTTCTAGGTTGCCGCGGGCCTTTGATGCAAGCGAGCAGCAGCAGGTGTCTGATTTGAAGCAATCTGCAGGTCTGACACGACCTGTGTCTCACCATCACCTCGTTGCTTTAATGATGATACTGTGTGAGCCAGTTTTGGATGTGGCTCTGTCAGCCTGGGACGGGTCACTGTTTTGAGGGCAGCATGAATCATCTCATGGTGTATTGATTGGGCATAGAAAAGCAAACCCAGTTCATTCAGAGGCTTGTATAGCCCCGGAACTCATAAAAGATAGTAAAAGGTTATCAGTCGAGTCAAAAGTACTACTAAAAAACATCAATATCATAGAGGTTTTTGGTAATCAGTTGGTTAAAAAGTCAGTTTTTCTTTAGCTCACATCAGTTAAAAAATAAAAACTTCAAGACAAAAATGATTGTCCAATCATAGCAACCATAAGTAGGCATGTCACACCTATTTAGCTTTGAATTCCTTTAGGAATGCAACAATACCATTTTTTTTCAGACTAACTGTACTTACATTTGGGTACTTGCCGATACCGAGTCCCAATATGAGAACTTAATAATAGAGTTACAGTGCTAACAATGGCTCTGAAAACATGTTTTATTTTCATCAGGTGTTTCTTCACTTTCTGACTGTAACAAAGTAAATATACAACATGATGCTGTTGCTGACATTTTAACATTTTGTGTTTTCCTGATACAAGTTTAGTAATAGTTTGCAGTAGGGATGTTATTGATGAACAGTTAAGGAAACCCTGACAGAGTATGCCGGGCAGACATACAGCTGACTAACTCACAGCTAAAGCTCTTTATTGGATTTGGAAAATTTGCACTTTCGGACCCCAGCCAACCATTTCCCCAAAAATATTACACGAGCATTACGTTTCCCAAAAACATCTGTTAGTCCACATTGTCAAAGCCTTTTCTCTGGTAATGGTTAAACTCGAAACATGCCGTTTGAAATGATTAACAATGCAACATATATCTATCATGTCCAAGAATGTAATAAGCATCCAAACAAGGTTACGTTATATAAATCAGTTTGCTCCCACTTATCCTGATCATATTATCAATACTAGGGGTTACATGGATCAGGAGGTAGAGAGCGGGTCGTCCATTAATCACAAGGTTGGTAAATCGAACCCCGGCTCCTCCGTTCTGCATGTTGAAGACACTGAACTCCACGTTTGGTGTGTGTGGGAATGACTGACGCTTTGGTCTTAAGTCTTAGGTAAAAAAGCGTTAATATAAATACAATGGTCCATTCACCATTTGCTGGGGCTTGTTAGCATTGCACTACTAAAACGATGTTTTTAGGTTGTGATTTTAAATTGCGTGCCAATGCCACAAGAAATGCACTTAAGTGCTGAAAATAAAATGAGCTGGTGGAAGTTTATCAAATCATTGGAGGTAAAGGACAAAATATAATTATTTCTATTCCTAAAGCTTTCAACTCCCTAGTAATTCAAAATGAACAGTATGATTCATTGATATATTCAGTTATATTTTAGACTCTGATAACCTTTGTCTGTTTCTGGCCTCCATAGGGGCTTGGCTTTAAAGGTCTAATGAAATAAAGCAGTATTTCCTTTCCAAAGAGCACCTGACACAGAGGGATTTAAACACACTGGAAAAGATAAAACTTTATTTCTCCCTGTCGTGACAATACAAAGTCAACAAGTGCAATAACAATCCAACTGAAAACGGTACTGGTCATTCTATCTAGTAGTAAATACATAGACAGAACTTGGTGCACATTATCATCACCACCACACCCAAAAAGTGAGGTATCAACCACTACAAAGCTTCTGTGTACAGGTGGGTATTCAACCGTAAGGCAACTGTTACCATGACCGCCTGACAGACTGAAACAGATGTGCGCTCTCTTCTTCCCTTTTTTATGTTGTTTTTTTAAAAATTGTTTATTTGGGTAGAGGGTTGAGCTGATACGATTTACAGTACCACGTCACACATCAGGCCAGAGTCACGACTGTTTTCAAACAAAACAGAAAACATCACAAAACCAACTTGTAACATTTTAATGAAATGAGGGGAAATAATCCAGCTGCTACTGCTTGTCGGAGGCAAAATGAAGTGTTTCCTTACTGCCCTCCTTTACTTTATTACAGGTCAGAACACACAGCAAAAACCCTGAAAAATGACATTACCTTAAACACATCAGATTTTCCCCACTTATTCAACATTAGGGACTAATTAAATCCCCTTTGTGCTGCTGCATCTGTTTCAAAAAACCCTCCCTGTTTGGTGCTCCTGTTCACACTCTGGGAATAAGGAGACAGCTATGGAAAGAGAGCAGGAGAGTGTAATTTAGGACCACTGCAGATCCCTGGGCCAATTATTTAACTTGGACACATCCTATTTCTCTGCCCCTGAAAGCACAAGCCTGCTCACGCACTTAAACTTCAGCCACTGAAATGGGAATTGACTTGCTCTAACAACTCAGCAAATGTGAATATTATTGCCGATAACTGAGGAAGAAGCCCAGCACACGACCAGAGTTTTATTCGGAGGATCCACTTAAACTTCATGAAACGGAGAGGACAGATATGATGGCGAGACCCCAGGTCTCATGACTCTGAGCGATTAACGGTATCTCTTGTTAGCTTTCAGCGAGGACGTTACCACGTTTGCACGGACCAGAGATTCTGCACGCATACGGGGCCCAGCAGCTGCCAGAGTACCAGTTGCAGATGCAAGATTGGTACCAACGCCTCTTTCGTGATGTACCTACCGGTCTGCCCACCTGGTCTTCACATGCTATCGCTCATATGCAGTCTGGCACCAACAGCTGCTTTGTCTCTTGTAGTATTTAATGGATTACAGAGAATTTATCTCGGTAGTTAATTCAGATTTGGGTATAAAGTCACTACTTTCTCTTAAAACACGATGACCGTAGAACTGAAACGATTAGTTCATTCATCTATTAGTCCAACTCGCTTTTTGGTTGATTCATTTCTTGTTTAGGTCATTTTTCAAGCAATAATACCAAATAATTCCTTAGTTTCAGCTTCTCAAATATGAGGAGTTTGTCTACTGTAATAGTGTAACACTTCATAGACCGAACAATTTATTGATTAATTGAGAAAACAAATTGCTGATTAATCTGAATTTAGTCTTTAGTTGCACCTCTAGATTGATTGATCATTTATTTCCAAGCTTACACTGATTTCACACATGTGAAGATTTGATCATATGTTATCATAAACAATAGTATAACTGAATATCCTGGGTTTTAGCCTGTTGGTTGAATAAAACAAGCCATTTCAATACCTGGCTTCTGGCTTTCAGAAATTCTAACATTTTTCACTATATTCTGACATTTTATGGACCAAATAATTCATAAAGAAATTGAGAAAATAATTGTCAGATTCAAGTCATTAGTTACAGCTATAATGTAAAAGTTTGTCTTTAAAAAGTGAATTGTTTTCACTTCTGCTCCAACAACGCTGTCACAGAAATTGTTGGAGACCTTTTTCAGTACGAGTTCATTATCCAGAAATGCTGTATGTCCATTTTAGTAACCTCGCCTTATTAAATGTAAACTGAACTGAAAGCTCTGCGATTCCACCTCAATGATTACCCGATGCTCATTTGGCTGGTGCCTCTGACTTTTACATACCATGTCATCCGTCTGATTAAGCTACTGTACATTATTGCTGACAGTGAAAGGGGTTTTAATGTGGGTTTTTCTGTTGTGGCTAATCACTTACAATTGTCTATTACCAATGTGGGATATAGAGCGCTCCTTATAAAGGAACCAAATGGATATTCATTTGCATCATATTGCTAATGGAGCTGTTTTTCAGGCAGCTCCGGTAATGAGGAAGGGCAAACAAGTCAATGGATGAGGTTACACAGGCAACTGTCTCACACTAACTTTGTAAGTAATGGTCTCAAATGGGCTTGTCGGCTCGACGCCAAGGTCTAAGGTTATGTTTAACTTAGCATGAAGCGCTTTGCTGTTGTGAAGGCGTCCCTGATCCTCATTATGATGTGTTCACATTACGAGCGACAAAGCAACCGGCTACAATTCATTTTCAATGGAAGCCAGTGACATGAATGTTTTTTTTCTTTCCGTTATCCAGTTCCCAGTGCAATTAATGGCGTAACGACGTCAACGAGCGCTTGAGCAACACTTCCGAGGCGACGTGCCGACAATGTAGCAGGCCACGCATGACCGTTTTGTAGCTCTGTCGCTAGTTCTGTGAACATAGCATTAATGTTTTGGGTGAATGACTTGAAAGCCAAGATCCCTTTCCTCAGCATCACTAAACCAAAAGAAAAATCTTGATGACCCATTGTAAAGCAGGTTATCCGTATGGCGTTGTGTCCTTGTGTCAGACACGTTACAATATAGATAAAATCACTTGTTTTGCAGAGAGGAGATCTAAAACATTTCATACGAGATACTGTTTTCTCAACATGGCTGCTGCAGAGACATTTTGCGTCTGGTATCAGTAAGTAACAAAAACATTCTACTCTAAGCGAGATGCTCAGCATCAACCTAAGCTGTTACATGTTCCGAATGTTAACCACTCATATATATTCTCTGACTAACTCACATAAATAAATCACCAAATAGATAACCCACAACTGTGTCTAACTGCTACTGAACACAAACTGACACAGCAGTGCAATAAACATTTTATATCTAGAAAGATGAGCTTCTTTTTTTAAAAACGAGTACAGTTTATCCAGCTCAGCTCAGATCCTTTTTGGGATACTTCGGGACTTGGCAGTCTCTTCAGAGGATCACTGAACACCTGTGAGCTGCTGAATGTGTCGCTCCTCTGCAGTACACTCCTCTGTGTCTCCTGGCAGCCTTTGTTCAGCGGGGTTTCTAAATGCCACGTCGGCCTGCTTCTGTCGGTCCATGGGTGTTTTGTGCTCATTAGGAAAGGGCAGTAGTCTCTTCTAACTACTACAGTATGGCTAGCCCACCACTGGTGTCTGTGTCTGTGGTCCAGAGAGGGGGCATCTGCGGGACCTCTCCTCTCTACCAGGTAAGGAAACAAGGTGTTGCTACTCTTCGGTTTGTCCACTTGCAGAATCATTCTGTAGAAAGAGAGAGAAATGCAGAAATTGAGCATTCTCGACAAAAAACAATCTTATCACAAGGTTTACTTTTTTAGTTTCTCCACAGCTTTCAACCGCATCTTGTGTTTATCTCTCAGTTGTGGGAGTTGCCCAGTTCTCATGGAGATGGTTTGGATGTTATCATGTGACAGAATTTCTGTTTCTTAAAGGGATGGTCTCTGGGGTCGGACGCTGGGACCAGTTCTGGTTCTGTTTTTAATCTTGTTTCTGGTTTTCATTACCAGACCAGTTGTGTGGACAACCCACTGAATCTACACCGGAAACGTACTACACCCGCTTATCTGTGAACTAGAGGTCCTCTCAATTCTAAAAATGTTGGACCCATGAAGCAGCTGCGCTCGTGTAATAGATATACATAAAGATGGTTTTCTAACCAATTTAATAAGAGCGCAATTCTAAAAAACAATTGTCATTTAATAGCATGCGACAAATACAACCACGCTTCAAGAAAACCAAGCAAATGAAGAACAAACATTTTAAGATCACATACATACACATTTCAAAGATATCATACTAATGGATCAAACAGAATGAGAACTTTTAAGAAATTGAAGAAAAGAAACAGAGGGGGTATCATTGCCTTATCCTCTCCAACTGCCCGACTGCGTTTGGAAAGAATATCCTGTATCCTGCATGGCTGAAACTGGCTCAGACATGATGTGCGTGCTTAATGATCCACATTGATCTTTATACAGGCCTACTATTGGCTTGAGAATCAGCTCAAGGCCCGAAATCACAAAGACCAACAAAACTGTAGCTCTGCTTTTCAAAAAGCAATTAGATTTACAGAACAATTTTACAAGTCTGTAATTCTTGTAAATACTTTCAGCCCACCCCACCTCCTATGAGTCACATCCCAGCCATTTCTATAAAATAATGCAACTACATTGTTGATGGTAAAATAAAAGTTTCCACTTGAAGGTTATTATAATGCACTCTTGAGAAAATGACTCAAATGCAGTTTGCAGAAGTTGACGTATGACAGCAGATCAAATAAAAGATCACAAACACAGCCCCAAAAATAACATTGCAGCTGCATCACTTGCTCATGGCAATGCCAAAAGTCATTCTACGACTCTCAAGGAGTCAAACTTATTCTCCTGCGCTTTCCTTTTAGCCCACAGCAGAACGCTGTGCCTGGCTGCCTTTGTAGCATCTATGATGTTAATTAACTCATTAACTCACACCACATGGAGAGTGTTGCTTTAATTGGACAAGGTCTTGGCATGCTGCTCTGTGGACAGACAAGCCAGGAATAATTTCATAATGTACAATTCTATTATTACCACAGAAAGCCAACCAGTGAGTTCAAAGATGGACGTGAATATGCAGGAGACACAGCTAGGTTTTGATCATACTCTGACAGAAAAATAAAAAACTGGGAAAAAAAAAAAAAGACGTGAATTGCTGTTTCAGCTTCCAGAGTGGAGCCGACTGTGGCTAAGTGGTAGAGCAGGTCGTCCTTCAATCAGAAGATCGATCGGTGCGATCCCCGGCTCCGCTGGTCCATGTCGATGTGTCCTTGGGCAAGACACTCAGCCCCGAATTGCTTCCGAATGCTGTGCCTCAGTGTATGAATGTTGGTCCTAATGGGCAGGTGGCCCCTTGCTTTGTAACCCCTGCCATCAGTGTATGAATGGGTGTGAATGGGTGAATGACATGTGGTCTGAAGACTAGAAAAGAGCTATACAAGTCCATTTCCCAAGTGTAATTTCCTTGGCAGACAGACCTGCAGGCCTTTGAGTGTTGGTGTTAGTGGTGACCTACGACCAAAGCGATGTTACACACAGACTTAGCGGAGTGACGGAAACTCTGACTGTGTGATAAGGCTGAGTCACTGAAGTCTGACTGTAAGACGCAGTGTTACGATGGCCGGTGAGTCAGGTGAATGTGGTGACAGATGCCACTTCACACGGACGGCTCCATCCGTGGCTACGCTCAGCTGGCCCAATGAAGCTGCCAAGTTTGAGTGAGTGGGTTGTTACTGGCACAAGGTGCCACTGTAACTTGGTGCCAAGTGATTTATGAATCACCAAATGACTCTTTGACGTGTTCTGTTGATGTGCGATGGTGCCATTTGATGTTGCCCAACATTTCATTTCTCTCACTTTTATTCCTGGCTAATGCTACGCACACATTAAACCAAAGTTGAATCATCCATTCATCCATTAGTTATACCCACTAATCCTTTAGGGTCACGGGAGGAGGCTAATTGGACGAGAGGTCGGGGTACACTGGACAGATCATATTTTTTATTTTAACACCGAGCATGAGCAAAGAAGCGTATTTAATCTTGATCGCAGAGCTATATTTGCACAGCAAGTCTTGATCAGCACTGAGTAAAGACAAACTAAATTTATGTAAATTATATGCAATATAGCCAGACTGAAATGACAGCTGCAGATCAGATAGTTCTCGCAGTTCTGAGAGAGGAGAGTGTCAGGCACACTACCCAAGGATGTAAAAAACAAGTTACAATATAGGAGATGCTCACTGCCAGCTCCTTTTTCCACTTTTTCTTCTGGTGTCAAGATATCCAGATGCTGCTGCTGCTCCCCACTACCCATAATTGCTCGAGGTGAACTACTGGGCAAAGGGTTGGCACTAACTGGGATCTTGGCCAAAGTTTTTAATTTCCTTTAATGGGCTATGTATGAGTGGACAACCAATCAGGGCTTTAAAGCTGCTGAGCAATTTATAGAGAGAGCAGGAACTTCCTATTTAAAGGCGCATTGTGTAATGTCTAGCCACAAAGAAATAAATCAATATTTCAGGTTTTTTTTTTTTTTTTCAAATTAGCTGAGCTTTACTTCATAATCTTTCAACTGCAGACAACCCCTGTGGTACAAATACCTCTTATCAATCATTGAGTGGGTTGTTGCTGCCATTACGTGCCACATTGCCCTGTGACTAAAGTCCCATCTGTTGTCAGTTCCCTGCCCATAAAGAAACAATGCATTCTTCATATCAAGGAACAATTAACTATAAAGTGCGGCTTAGCAGACCTGTTGTTTTTCTCTCACCTGGATTGCACATGCATGAATAGGAGCTTTCAATAAAGGGTATCCACAGAGAGAAAGTAACAACAGCTTCCCAGGCCGCCCACACTTAACCCCCAGCAGATCTGCAGCATACCAGCCTGCTCACGTGGCGACATGATAAACAATATCACCACATGCTGAATGCCAAGCTGCACTTTTTCCTGAAGAAAAACATCTCTGCATGTGGAGAAATAATTTGATACTTTGACTTGCTGTGAAGATCGCTCCGATGCACTGGTGACCATTTGTGCATGCTGGATTCCCGAGTTGCTGTGCGACTGGGTTGTTTTTAGATGCTGCTGCGCCAGTTGCGGGGACTTGACCCCATCTCTGTTTGTTTACATTAGTCCAACAGATGTTCAACTAACTGGACCTGGATTTACCCTGTAACTTCTCTGGGGATAAAGATCTGTCTTCCCGCAAATAAACCATGGTCCATCCGATGACGCACTGTGTGGGCAACATGAGCTGTGGTGTACATACACTATTGGTTACTTCACACATTTAACAAAATGTGTAAGCATTGTCTAGATTGTGAGAAGTGCTTCACTGTGTTAAACTGCAAACAAGCTATTCTAATCTTGCCGAGAAACTTTGTGACTGAATTTATTTCCCAGCATCTGTCACGTTTTGGTATTTTTTGTTTTAACTGATTTGATGGATTATCAAAGAATATCCATAGCTCCTTTTTAAAAACTGACCTGTTTCTTAATAAAAAGTGACTCAACTTTTTAAAGGGAAAAAAATGCAGAAGATTATTCCACGTCAATATCTATTCTGAAGCTTTTCCCATCAGTCATCGTCAGCACGAATTACCATGAATTTAGCATGCTCTCAATGAGCATTTTGCTGCAGTTTCAAACACCTTTTTAGAGACCTCCTCTGGCTTAAAGCTCGAGAGCTTCCAGTGCAGGTCAACCTAGTGAGTCTAGTCCTATCATATTGAACTGACTTCATGTCTAATGAGGAGACTCCATGGGTATGTCCAATGTAAGTTAACCATGTTTCCACCAGCAAAGCAGCCCCAGGATCCTTCTGCAGCATCCCAGCTCCCCTATCTATGGCTCGCACAGTCAACGCTGCTTCTCAGAGCCATTTGTCAAACCTCTGCCCACATTAAATTATCATGACCCGAGAGAGATATCTACCTCTAGCGAGAGACTCTGAGCCCCAGTCAGACAGAGACGAAGAACTGCATGAAAAATGGACCGCACAGAAATGTAGGTTTGTTCAGACTGTGCTCTGTGATTGTGTAGCTTTATTATGAAAGTCTGAGCACTGGCTGCCAAAAGAAGAATAAGTTCCTCGCGCTGTGTTTTAACAGTCACACACACGCAGCCCAACACACCTTGAGACTCCTGTGACTGCGCTCAAAGGTAAGAAAATGATGAACCAAAAGGACAGCAGAAGGTGTTTTTTTTTTCCACAGGAACTCCATGAAAGGTCTCTTATGTGACTCGGAGTCGAATCATTCAGGTTAAATAAGAGTTGGGGGCCTCGGGCGAGCAGTGCAGCTTTCACATTTATTCTGTTCTATTCATTAATAATGACCGCTCCTTAATGAGCTGGTCAGACTTAAAACCCAAATTGTGATTCTGACAGGGACATAGTTCCTCTAGTAGCAATACCATTGGTAGGCAGTAATCATGCGCGGTTGTGTCCTGTGTGTATCTTTGTGTGCGCACTGCACTCTTAATAAGGAATGCAAGTAAACGGGGAGCTTGATGTTTGAGCTTCCTCTATGTTGGCTTGGGAAAATATGCTGGAAATGCTCTAATTTGTCCTGTTAGTGTTTCCCTGCCATGTTGCTCTCTCTCTACATGGCAAAACACTGAGTACAAAGATCATTGCTTACTACTTGGGGAAACAGTTATTTACTTAATTTTGTAATTCTGTTTTTCCATATTGTTTCTCCTTTTTTTTAAATGTTCATCTAAATTAATCTACATCATCAGATGGTCCAAAGAACTGATCTACAGTCTTTTCCAGCTTCCTGTCTGTGATTTATAAAGTATTATTTTCACACTGCCAGCGCTCCCATTGAGATACTTCTGTTAAGACACCAGCTGTAATTACCCAGGTGATTTGTGATGTAAATCTTAGTTCACGTTTTGCTGATTCTTGCAGCTTTACAGTGGACGTGCCAAACTGCCGGTTGGCAATCGCCAAGTGACGGACAGTGACTCACCATGCGGTGGACGTGTTGTAGGGCAGGAGTGTGGGGCTGTGGCTCTCCCCTCTGAGGCTGTGTCTGGGCTGGTAGTGGCTCGGGACCATGGGCTGGGCCGGAGCCTGGGCTTCGCTCTCCTCTGGCATGGACCTGTGCCACTGACTGCGAGCCTTCTTCAGCCAGCGTCCTCCCAGGCCCCATTTCTCCAGGTACACCCGGCACAGCTCGTAGTTTATGGCTGAGTAGTAGAGAAAGTCCAGCGCCAGCAGCACCATGACGAAGAAGCCGTAGATCCACACGCCGACCAGGGCTGTGTAATTACTGTGTGAGAGACAGACTATGAGTGTTAGCACAGTGTAATCTGGGAAAGATGATGATAAACATTCTCGCATGCTCATAGCTACCATCCATATACCCCTCAGCTGGGCCCTTAAATCCCAGCTATGATGCCAAGTGTGAATGTTTTCTGTTCATGTGGCAAGACCAAGACGTTCATCAAATCCTCCCTGGATAAAAACTAGTTAAATAAACAAAAAGCAAAAATTTATTAAGAAGCCCTCCATCTGTTCCATTTGCTGCTTCTTCAATTCTACAACACATTTCAGTAGCACAATACACATCTTAATCCATTTGCTCCTCCGAAAATCTGTGCTCCTAATTTTTACTCGTAAATTTTCGTCATGTATTACATGATCCAGCTGCATTTATGTGGCACTTTTGAACTTTCGTTTAGCCCACCCACATCCATAAAGTACAGCAAGGTAAATGTGCAAAAATAGCTCCCTGAGAAATTTGAGAGGCAGCATTTTGCCAAAACAGGGACACTAAATATCTGGGTGCGATGTCTTTGTTTCTATGGCACTGAGGACACTTAGTTAGGGAATCTCGCACAAATTGAAAGTGATTCAGTCCTATTAGGTTGATTCTATCGTACGGAATGAAAAAGTATTATTACGACTCTGAGAGAGGAAGCAGGATATTATTCAAAATAAAGATTTATTTGGAGGGAACCCCATCTATTATGTCATTTCGGCACACTTTGCAATTTGTTTGACTGCATTGATTGAAGCCCTCACAAAAAAAGTGATGCCCAAGAGCTTCCAGTTCAGTTGATCAAGTGAATCCACTTCTTTCAGAAAACGATGTGGCCTTGGGATATTTATCTGAATAAATGGCTTTAAAATGAACATCTGTTAGGCAGGCGAATGCCACGACTGCACTCAAATCTAATTGTATCCTTAATCGCAGTTGCCTTTCTTCACCTCTGCGTTTTGAGACATTCACCTACAATGTAGTTTGTGACTCGGGTAATTTGTGGGGGCAACAGGCTGTACTTGAGTCAACCTGGAGGTAAGCAAACATGTGCACAGTCCTCGGAGGGATCGATCATGACCACACAACTAAAACAAATGTTATTCAATATTCAACACAGCAAGGAAAGCAGAAGCAATTGATTATCTGTCAACGGTTTCTTGCTGTTACTGTTGCTTTTCTGAAATTTAATTCTAAGATGACTCTTCTTCTCTGAATCTATTCCGACTCTGCATCATTCCAGCTACTCTGTAACTACATGGTGAGCTATATAGTACAGAGCACTGACTCATGAAACCCTCAGAGGACAAACGCCTTTAGTTTTACCTTGAACCGCAATAAATCTCAAACTACATTACCATTTTTCTCCCATGCAGTGTGAGTAGAGAGCAGAATTATGGCCAGTTTAACTCGCTTGGACTGTGGTAAATATCAGACCCGCAGCCCTATCGCCCAGTGAGCCGGGATGAAAGAGCGGCCAAAGAGGACATCTGACACTAAAAGGAAATATCATGACCTGCTGCAGGGCAGTGTGAACCACCCGGGGCCGAGGCATGCTGGGAGGGCATTAGCACAGAGAGCTGAGAGCTCCCACAGAACAAGAGGCTCGTTCTTCTGTGTCCCTCACTCAGCTGAAATCTGTTTATGCTGCAACGAATAAATGTGTATAAGTACTTTGTCACATATCGGTACGTGTAATGTAGTTTGCTATTAACAGTACTAAAACGTACTATAAGTCTTGCATCTGCTCTGTAGGATATGATATCATAGTGAAACTTGATATATTAGCCAGCACTTAACACCTGCCTTTGTGAGCTATCGTGTGGAGGCGTCACTCTCACAACACAACTGCTTTCAGCATCTGCTCTTCTTCTCTGTGGTGGTTTTGAATGCCTCTGTAGGTGTGGATCAATGTCAACAAACCCTCTGAGTGAGAGGCAAGCGGTGTCAATGAGTGCGATGCTGTCGAGGGAGCGAAGCGTTTGTGAGCAAGCAGACTACAACCAGCTGTTTTTATCTGATCTGAGGAAATGTCATCTCTGAAACTGTTTGTTTCACCAAAGCTGTTCCCATAAAACTCAACTGAAGATATTCAGCACAACCTATTTTCTCCCTAATTACCTCCACTGAGCCACGGAGGTTATGCATCGGTCCTGTTTGTTTGTGTTGTGCAGCATAACTCAAGAACTATTAAACAGATTCCAAATGCAGTGAAGTTCCATCATGGCCCAACGAAGAACCGATGAGCTTTTGATGTGGAGAGTGAAGCAATGTGGCCGTCAATAAAGCACTCAATATTTCGGCTCAGTGCTCTTGAACCATGAAGCATATAAGTAGATATCCTTTCCTATTTTTGGATTGCTTTACAGCTGTAACTAACAATTAGTCGATTGACAGAATAATAACTTTTGATAATACAATTTTTGCAAAAATGCCAAACATTCTCTACCCCTTGGGCTCTAGAGCATTATGACTTCTTTTGTAGTATCCTTATAAGGGCCGACACCCCTGGTGAGTTGAACATTTAGAATGTTTCTACACTACGGTGAACGGTGTTGATATAGATAATAATGGAATTTTACTTCAATATTTTAAAAAAGGAAACTGATAAATTAAACCAAAAAAGAAATGGGACTAACTTCTGGTACTGGTACAGATTCAGGTGTGTAAAGAGGTCAAATCGGGTCAAATGGCTTTACTTACTTGTGTGCATACCCATCTGAGGTGGTGGTGAGGTTGATCTGCATGACCATCTGGAACTCTGTTTCGTTGCAGCAGTATTTGAAGGCGGTGTTGTTGTGGTGGCAGCAGAACATGTAGGTCTTGTTGTCCGAGAGGCGAGGGCAGTGAAAGCCGAAGTGGTAACCCCCTTTCTGGTCCGAGTAGGGCTCACACACTCGGTAATGAGCGGAGAGGGCTGCAGTTTTGTGGAAGACAAACACAAATGTCAGACAGGAAGTATTATAGTAAAGCGGGAGACAAACACACAAACACTCAGTGAAATGTGACTCATGACCTTTTGAGATGGAGTTTGTATTTGTCTTCCTACTCTGAAAATGACAACCTCTTACTCGAATTATTGACGACAAATAGCTGTCAAGGAAACACCTTCCAAACTTCAGCAGCAGATAGAAGACGCCACCTTAAGCATACAGGCGTTGATGGCAAAAGCTCATCAACCCAAAAACTGAGTGCGTCTGATCTATTAGGTCATTACTTAAACATACGCGTGTGAGTGCTTCTGGATGGAAATACCAAATATGCTCCTCAGACCGGTTACATCATTTGTTATGTCAGTCCTACTTCTTTTTTTGGCAGCTGGAGTGATACGAGCTGATAAGAGTACCGAGTTTATTATTGAATAATGCAAAGATAAAGTGGTACAAATATTACTCTGGCTCATTTACATCCATCATCCATCTGTAGCTGTGCATTGAAGTCCATACTGCTTTAGGAGGCAATAAATCTGTGCATACTTGCTGCCACAAAAGGGAAAAAAGCAATATTGTTTTTGTTATAGAATCTGGCGATTTACTTCAGCAGCAGCTGCAGACTCCATCTGATGATAATAAATCACCAGTTTGTCAGAGAAATGAACCAGATATGATTAGTGTCAGTTTATGGGGCCTCAGTGCCTTGATAACGCATCAGTATCACATATCAAGCATATTCACTTTATATTACTGGTAACAAGACAAATAAGGAATGCTCTAGTTTGCCCGGGGACAGACTGTGTAAACTGAATAGTAATTATATAGAAACTGCCCAAAATATGTTTGTTTTTTCATTTTATTTACCCATTATTTGATAAGGAAAGCCTCCTTGAAATTATTCATCTGACTAAGATTTTCAACAATAACAATAAGTTACAGAGAAACCACATACGCATAAGACAGATAACACAAAACATGCCACATATCACAGTAACGTGATTATTTTTGGTTGTTTCACCATAGAAACAACTTAAATAGCACCTTTTAAAACAACTCAAGAGTTGTCTAAAACCATATATAAATAAGACCATACTCCTTAATATTTGCAGCCCAGAATTATAACAAATATCTCTTCCAAAGGACAATTTTTAAAATTGAAAAATAAACTTGTCTGCTCTATCTAATGGTGACACTGTTTATAAATAACAGTAAATATATCTTTGGCGTTTATTTATTACAACAAATGCTATACGCTGATGCAATTTTTGGGTCCCAAAACAGCCATGCTGATATATCAGTCTGGCTCTATTTACGTACATCATTTGGCGATTTGTAATAAATTAGGCTCTTTGATTCATTTTGCTTCATCATTCTCCTCCTAAGCGTGAATTAAATTAGGCAGTTTCATGTGAAGTTCATCCAGATTAGTTCTATTGTAACTGATTTGTCTTCATCTTGTATGTTTCCTTTTATCAGCGTAGCCTACAAATGTGGGAGTAAAAGTGTTCTCGCTGTGATTTAGTTCAATGTCCATTTATGCTGCGGAGTGATAGAAGTCTTTCAGTAATCTCCGGCAGGGATGGATCAGCATTTGAAAGGAGACTGCTCTTTCAGGTTATAATGAGCTCGGCGTGGCCAGCCATCTTCCCTTCAACAACCCGAAGCAGAAGAGGCGGTGCAGTGAAGCGGTGCCGGATTAGAAGTGAAGGGTTGTTGTATAAAATTCTTCATTTGACCTTTGCATTGACTGTACCGTGGTTCTGCAATCAACTCATGATGTCCCATAGCACGTTGCACGTAAAGGAGGGGTCAGCAGTTTGTTGGTGCATGAACTGGCAAGAAACAGAACATCGGAAGTGGACCATAAAGTCCTTTAACGACGCAAGACTTAAAGGTTTGGAAAGAGAAGAGTACAAATGAGCAACAGCTGGTTCTGGAAACCATACAGTTGTAAACACACCCACCTGCTTAATTTCATTAACACCTCTTGAAATTTAGGATACAGTTAACAGCTTGGCTCCAGCGTTGCAGTATGTTTACAATCTGCGGTCTGAAAACTGCCATGGCTCTCTCTGCCATTCCCTAACAAGCAACATGCTCTGACATCATATTTATTTATTGATGGCTACACTCGGGCCCACAGTTTGTCATCTTTCTTCTGAAACAGCATAATACATGCCATCAGCTTATCAATAGAACAATCAATCATTTATCAGGCAAAAATGCCAAATATTCGCTGGTGCTAGCTGTTCAGGGGTAAGTTTCTGCTATTTTTAATCATTGTAAATTGAATATCATTTGGCTTTGACCATTTGCCCAAACAAAACAAACTTGTTTATGTAACTTTCGGACACTTTAATGGTCAATTGTTTTTCGCTACTTTTGTTGACAAAAATATAGATTTATTAAAAAAAGGCTTGTTTATTTATTAAATTGATGTTAAAGAGTTGTTAGTTGCTGCCCTACCATCAATATGCTATATGTACCATCAAAATCACAAATTCAAACAAATTAAAGAATTGAACAACAGTTAAAAAGTCGTTCACGCTCACTCTGCTGATTATAGGTTTTCCATTTATTCCAACCTGCTCCTGTTCTGCCTCCACCCTCCTCTTGCCCTATTTTGTCATTTTAAAACTTGAGTTGGCATCTTTTCCCTTGTGCATAATGTATATGCCGTATCTCAGAGATACGCGTTGGCTGGGTTCTTCTCTTTGTATCTTTTGGGGTTATAATGTGCTCTCTTCACAGTTTTACGCTGTATGTCCTCATTTAGAGAGCGCCCTGAGGTATCTCCTTCTATCCATATCAACTGTGTCTTTTGGGGTTGTTTCCTGCATTTAGTTCATGGCACTAGTGGCTCTCTCAGTAAAAGACTGAGACACACGTTTCGAAGCATCCGGCGTTTATTAAACCACTCTGAGCATATAACATGAGAACACCCCGAGTGTCTGGAGGCTCCTATAGTAGCAGAAATATGAACTTCCGAGGGCCACAGAGGCAGACTCACTGATAAACACCACACACTAAACTTTACAGACCTGCAGTGGACAGCAAGAGGAAGATGACCGTCAGGACATTGAAGGACTGCCGGCTGGTGATAGTCATCTTCTCGTCCTCATGTGGGAGGTAGGGAGGGAGTGAGAGGTAGGGGGGATGGAGGGAAGGGGGTGGCTCTCCTTTAAGTGGGCGTGGGCATCCTCTGCTTGTTGACAACTCCTCTCACATGACTGCTGCTGGGCGTCAGGACTCCTGGTGGGAACAAGACGTGCAGAGAGGGGAAAGATTAAGAGATTTGGTTTGTATTTCTGGTAAGTTCCACCCTACTGTGTGGACAGCTTGTCTGGCAGTGAGCTCCCATGATGCCTTTCCAAATCTGTCCTTGGGTTTATATAATGGGATGGCTCGGGCATCAATTATAATTGAAATTGGCACTCTGGGAGGAATCCCTATTGTGACAACAGTTTTTATGCTTTTGACAGGAGAAATCTTTGCACTTGATGCTGTCATTTCAGACGTTTGGAGCATATATATGTATGTATGTGTGTATATGTATATATGTGTGTATATGTATATATGTGTGTATATATATATGTGTATATATATGTGTGTATATATATATATGTGTGTATATATATATGTGTGTATATATATATATGTATATATATGTGTGTATATATATATGTGTATATATATGTGTGTATATATATATGTGTGTGTATATATATATGTGTGTGTATATATATATATATGTGTGTATATATATATATGTGTGTATATATATATGTGTGTATATATATGTGTATATGTATATATATATGTGTGTATATATATATGTGTGTGTATATATATATGTGTATATATATATATATATATATATATATATATATATATACACAT